CCCTTATAGATTCCTGGTGGTCTGGCTTGGGCAAAAGTAGCAACTGCTGCTTCAATACTCCAATCCATTTTCTCCACCAAAAAGGCACATATGAGGAAACCAGTACGATTGAAACCATGTGTACAATGAACACCTATAAGTTCCGGTGGATTTCTCTCATTAAACCGCTCACACAGACGAATAAATGTCTCTGTGTTCTCAGCTGTGGGACATTCACCATGTCCTTTACATTGAAGTTTTATATATTTGATTCCTTCTTTTTCTATGTCGTTTCTGTCATAAAACCTCGACGTATTTGTTAAGTCTACCAGTAAGCCCATCTTAACCTTTAAACTCTTTAAATAATTTGGAAGCATACTGGGATGAAATTGATTTTCTTCTGCAACTTGACTATCATATCTTGGTCCTAACATTGTCTTCAGAGGTAAGAATTTTCCTGCCACCAGCTGGCCGCGCCGCGGACAGTTCAGCCACCGCGGCGGGATCTTGTTAGGAGCCATACCTTGGGGCCGCAGAGAACCGTCCACTTTCACCGTCCCCGCCTCGCGATCCGCTCGGCCCTGGAGGTCCGAAGCACCTGAATGTCAGCCTATGTACAAATCCCAGCCTCTGAAACCCGGTAACGTCAGGAGCCGCGCGCCACTTCCATTATTGGTGGCTTTTCTTCCCAGCCTCTTAACATTCAACCTCTCCTCATTACCCTCGACAAATACTTACTCATTCTTTTCTAATTATCCCCACATGCCCAACCCGCTGCCAGGCAGGGATCTCCTGTCTAAACTTGGAGCTGTGTTTCACTAGGTGTCAAGTGAATCTAGTTCACTTGGCCATCCTTTAGTTCTATCCCTCTTAGCATTCCTTCCCTCTGAGCCCCTTTCTACATTACCTTGATCACAAGACATTATCATCAACCCCACTGTATGAGATTTTTCCACCCCATCTGTAGCCCGTCACTACCAACCTGGTTTTGTTACTCTAAAAGACCCCTACTCTTTTCCTGCTATACTCCAATTCCCTATCTCTGTAAAACACCGCTGAAGTTTAAAACCCATTATTACTTGCTTACTTTCCAATAAGCTTCTTATTCCCTAGTGTTCTCTTGAAGTAAGTTAATGATCTCTTATTGTGAAGTACCTCATACCAGCTTTCACAAACTCATAGTGCTCAACCTTTTAACTTCTTGGCCTCCAAAGGATACAGAGTATCCCCTTCCAGGGCCCTACTGTCTCTCCTCATAGTCATGTATTTCAGTTTTCAATTGACCCTTGCCACTAGAAGTTTAATGGTCAATTGGTGCCAAGTCTTTGAAAGCCTCCAGCCACCTCAACTGTTTATCAAATCCTCTTTTCTCAGCTTTATCAGTTTCCTTAAACACTGGATTCCCAACTTTTCTTTACTTGTCCATCTTTTTCTCATGGAGCAGCTGGACTTCAATTTAATTTCTGTGTGTTCCACCTGTCAAGGTCCATGTATATTTACTGTTAATTTTGTTTTCTTAAAAATGTATTTGCGATGAATAAGCTATTGGTAATACTATCAATATAAAAATCATATCTATCACCAATGTAATATTTTTCTGAATACCAATCTTTCTTTATTTGCAAATTTTGTATCCTAGTTACCAGTTATTAATAAATCTTGATTTCATATTCTGAAAAAAAAGAAGATGATCATGAAATTCAGATGGAACTGATTCCAGATCACATCTTGGTTCCTATGGACTTATTTTTATTTTCTTCAGCCTCAATTTGAAATTACATATGATTATTAATAATCTGACCCATAGTCCAGCACTGGCCTAGATTTGAGTGCTGATATTGTGCTTCCCCAGTGATTTTTTCCACAAATGTAGTCAATCTGATTCCTGTGCAACCCATTAGGTGAAATCCATGTGTAAAGTTGTCTTTTGTGTCTTTTAGAAAAAACGTATTTACAATCAATAGATCATTATACATACAAAATTAATTTTATTTCCAGCTTCATTTCTATCACCAAGCCCATATCTTCCAACTACTGTTCCTTCTTCAGTTCACTACTTCCTACTTTTGCATTACAGTCACTAATTATCATTAACACATCTTGACTGCATGTTCGGTCAATTTTAGACTGAAAAATTTGGTAAAAATTATCAGTTTCTTCCTCTTTGTCTCCAAAATGTCCTACTCGTTCAAGTGGAAGTTCATTTGCCTGGTCCCTCCAGTAGTGAGAAGATGAGGTTCTTCCTCCTACCCCCACCCCTGATGCTTGTTTAATGCTGGTAGGACCTTCTCCTTGTCTTTCTCCTTCTCTTTCCCCTCCTCCTTTTTCGCTTCCTTCTCTTTTGAGGGTTCTGAGTCCAACCTGGGTTAGGGTTTGTGGAGCTGCTATGTTTTCTGTACAATTGGTCCTTGTCCATTACTTCTCTCTACTTAATAACGGATTTCATTTTCAATAATTAACCCAACATTTTAGTATCTTAGAATTGACACAAAATGACTATAACAATGGGTTTGAGCACAGGATAGGGCAAGACTCACATTTGTTGTTCATAGTGTTGCTGTGAGTCATAGTTAACAAGATGGCATCCCACAACACCAGCATGGAAAATGTCATACCTTTCCTTATCTCTTTCCATAGTTCCCTTTTTACTGTAGAGGAAAGTGGCTGATTTTTGTTATGCTGCTCTTGTCCCCAGCCACTTTGCTGAATTGATCAATTAGAGTCAGTAATTTTCTTGCAGAGTCTTTTCGATCTTCTTTATATGTTGTTTGTTGTTGAAAGTTGCCATCGAGTCAAGTTCAACTCATTGTGACCCTATAAACAACAGACCTGAACTCTGTCCTATCTTGTCCCATCCTCATAATCTCTGACATATTGAACCTATTATTTCAGTCACCATGTCAATCATATTATCTGCTAATAGAGAAAATCTTACTTCCTCTAAGCCAGTTTTTAAGTTTCATTTCTTGTGTTGCTGAGCTGTTTAGTAGTTCCAATACAATATTGAATAGGAATTATGAAGAAGGGCAACCTTGTCTGGTTCCCACTTGCAAAGGGAATTTGTCAATATCTTTTCATTGAGATTGAGAGTACTGTTGGTCTTTGGTTTTGTATATATGCTTTTTACTGTGCTGAGGAATTTCCCTTCTTTTTTGTTGAGCTATTTGTTGTTTTTAAATCAGGAATGGGAGTGGATTTTGTTAAATTCCTTTTTTTGCATTGATTGCTATGATAATTGGGTCCTTTTGTTTTACTGATGTATTGGATTACAGTTACAGTTTTTATATTTTCCAACAATATAATTAATATCATATAACAGGTCTTCCATGTGTGCATATGGATAATATCCTATTTTTTGTTATTCTTATTTATTGTCCAACTTTTTAAAAATTTTATTTTCTACTGGTTGGCTTACATACAAAGTGCATAAAGTTCATACGTATTGTTTTTCACACCAGACCATTCTCCTTTCCTTTACCAATCCTTCCCTCCACTCATCAAATTATATGACCCAATATTTAAGCCCCCCTCCCCTTGGATCCTTGTACATGCTCTACAATAATGGTCTTACACAATATTTTTCGTTATGAGACTCAGTTCACTAAGCATAGTACTTTCCTGTCCTTCCCATGTTAGTAACTTAGATAATCATTGATTCTGCATGCTGCATAGTATTTCATTATGTGACTGTACCATCATTTCTCAATTCATTCCATTGTGGTTGGGCATTTGGGCTGTTTCCATGTTCTTGGTATGGGGAATAAAGCTGCTATGAACATTGTTGTGCAAGTCTTTGTTTGTGCCTTAGTTCTCATTTTCTCAGGGTATATTCCAGGGAATGGAATAGCTGGGTCATATGGCATTTCTATGTTCAAATTTTGAGGAAATGCCAAACTGCCTTCCAGAGTGGTACTATTTTACAATCCCTCCAACAATGTATAAGAGTTCTTATCTCTCCATATCCTCTCCAACATTTATTACTTGCTGTTCTATTAAACTGTTTCACTGTTAGTAAGGTGATATCTCAACATGCTTTTGATTTGGATCTGTCTTATTACCAGTGATTTGGAACATTTATTCATGTGTCTGTTGGCCATATGAATTTCCTCTTCTGTGAAAAGTCTTTCCATGTGTTTTGTACATTTTGTAATTAGATCATCAGTCTTTTTTCTTCTAAAGGCTCTGTAGGATTCTGTAAATGTACCTGATTAGACCATTGTGTGAGATGGTATTGCCAAATATTTGTTCCCAGTCAGTAGGCTTTTATTTCACCTTGTTGGGAAAAGTTTTTTAATGGGCACAGAGATTTAATCTTTAGATGGTGCTATTCATAAAGTTTATTCTCTTCAGATTAATTTATAATCCTACATTTGAAGCCAAACAGAAAGAAAGTTTCCTCCCCCCCCAAACGTCCAGTCTGAAATTGACTGAGCATGCAAACAAAATGTGTTAATGATAATTGGTCACTGGAAATCAAAAGTGGAAAACATTGAAGAAGGAATAATAGAAAATATGGAATTGGTGATAGAAATGAGGCTGGAAATAGAATGACTGAATTTTGTGTTTTCAATGATTTATTCATTGCAAATACCTTCTGAAATAGACACAAACAACAGCATTACTTATTGGTCTCACCTTATGGGTTGCACAGGAGTTAGATTGTGAAAGAAACCATTGGAGAAGCTATCAATATCAGTACTCAAATCTAGGCCAGGGGTGGATGGTGGGTCAAATCATCCATTACTCATATACAAATTCAGGTTGAGGCTGAAGAAAATTAAAATAAGTCCACGAGAATGAAGATATAATCTTGATTCTATTCCATCTGAATTTTAAGATCATATTAAGAATAGGTTTGAGGAACTGAACACCAATAATCGAAGACTAACTGAGTTGCGGGATGATAAAAAGGATATAATCTATGAAGAAAGCAAAAGGTCATTCTAAAAAGGTAATTCTAAAAACAAGAAAGAAAGAAAAATTGAAGTGGATGTCAGAAGAGAATCTAAAAAGTCAAGAAGCAAAAACAAAGGGAAAATAGGCTGAAATTAGAGTTTAAAGAAGACTTCAAAGAGTAACTAGAGGACAAAGCAAAGTACTGTAATGGAATGTGCAGTGAGATGGAATTGGAGAATAAAAAGGGAAGAACTCACTCTACAGTTCTCAAAGTGAGAGAACAGAAAGACAAATTTAGATCTCGAGCCACACTATCGAAAGATGCTATCTATGGGCAATATTAGTGAATGACTCAGAATGCATCAAAAGAAGATGGCTCAGCAGCAATAGCAGAATTCAACAGGGAAGTAAACAACAAATGCTGGTGAAGTTGTAGAGAGATTGGAACTCTTATTCACTGGTGATGAGAATGTAAAATGTATTATCATTATGGAAGATGGTGTGGCATTTTCTCAGAAAGTTTGAAATAGAAACACTATTTGACCCCTCTACTAGGAATATAGCCTAAAGACACCAGAGTTCCATCCAGAGTATGCCTATCCTGTCTATTGCTATGTTATTCACA